GGGGGGGCAGTGAGGGAGGGAGGGGGCGGTAGACTAATTACAAGTGATTTCGACATCGCCGGGATCACTTGTACAAAACGAGCTTCAGCTTCCCCGCCCTACATTTAGCTCTGCTTGCCTGAAGCAGGGCTAAATGTAGAAAAAAACTACCCTGCCCAGAACTGCATGTAACGGGCGATAGGAATTCCACACCCATGCCGCCCCTCTACTCACTCCCTCCCTCCTTCCCCATGACAGGACCTTCAGTCAGGAAAGTAATTGTATTTTTTTTTGCAACTAAAGGAATTTTGTAGCGGGCCGGTCCTGAAGCCTTTTCATTGACTACATATTTTTGACATGGTTGGTTGGCTCCCACTCTACATGAAGGTTTTCTTTTTTATTTGTTTATTATGTAGGGGTAGCTGTCCTAACTAGGAGAAGAATAGATTGTTTTTCTGTGGAGGGAAAACTATCCATGAGGAGAATTTGGGATTTCATCTAGTTAATTACCTGGCCCAAGTGCTGTCCACATACAATGATAACAATAAGGCTGTTTGGAGAGGATTTGGGTCGGCTACATATAACAACATGTTGTCTGCATATAAACAAATGTATTCTTTGTGGTCTCCAGTTCAAAGGCTGGTGATATCAGGCCTTAATCTTGAGGAGATAAAGGGCAGCCATGTCTTGTTCCAATGGTGAAAGGGAACTAGTCGGATTTCCAGCCAGTAGCAGTTAGTCTGGCCACAAGTTGAGCATAGAACAGTTAGAGCCATTCAGAAAGTTAGGTCCAAACCCAAATTTACTAAGAGCAGGCTATAGAGACTGCCATTGCACTGAGTTGAAGGCCTTGGCAACATTGAGACTAACCATTACCCTTGTCCCAACCCACGTGTGTGCATTTTGAAGAATCTTAAAGACCTGCCTGATATTAAAAGTAGTGTCCCTGTTTAATCAGGATGGATGAGAATGGTTATCCATACAGGGGAGACTGATGACTACAATCAGCTCCCTGTACACTGGGTGATTGGTCACCTCAACCACCCCAGTCAGTAGTTCAATGCAAGCAGCTCTGACATCATTATATCAGTGCTGCCTGAAGTAGGGGGGTTGGCTGTATGCATAGAGGCATGCATATCCCAACACAGTGATGCTGCCAATGGCTGTACAATGGTAATGATAGGGGAGTTCTACTTAACCCACTGCACCACCCACCTTAATTTCCAAGAAACATCCCACACACTGTGTTTGAAAAAAGGGCTCTTGGAAGATGTAGTTCTGCGGGGAGTGCCACAGACATCTGTAAAAGATCATGAGACAGGAGTGAGATTCCAATCCCAAATATCCATATTGATTGACAAACACTCAGCTGATGATCCTAAATCACATTCCCAATCTGTACTACCCAGTCCACACAAAGATTGCCTCTTTTGCATCAACACATCCCTCGGCACGTCCACAGGATGGCCTTTGTGGAGGCCAAAGAGTTTCTCAAAATGTTTATGTCACACACACTCATCCCCAGATATTACCTTGTAAAATGGTGATGATATCCTCACTGTGCTGCACATAGTCTGTGCAAAGAGCAGAGCTACAGGCTGCCTGCAGAAAACAATAGGAGGGGGCGGAGACAAGACCAGTCACCCTGCACAAGGAGAGAGAGCAGTAGTGACCGATCTTTATTACAGGAGGGGGCGGAGACAAGACCAGTCACCCTGCACAAGGAGAGCAGCAGTGAACGGTCTTTATTACAGGAAGCTCCTGCACAGAGGAAAGTGTAAGAGTTGTTTCATGCTGGATTACTGCACAGATCTTGAAGAATTACACAAAGGACACAGAGATTCAAATAAGAATACACTTGGCTTTGTATTTACACAATATTTGTTTAGCCTGAAGCTCAGTTTTAATAGTTTCTAATGATATCTAATGTTGTTTTATCTTTATTTTCTGTTTTCCAAAAAACAAATGTATAAACCAAGGATTCCCAGAGCACTACGGCTCAGTAAAATGGAAAGGATTGCAATAGGATTGTCTCTTTTTAGGCAAGATGAAACCTCCAATGTATCTTAATGAAACCTCAAAGAGAGCCATATAAAGGGGGGGCGGGGAGGGAGAGTGGTGTGTACATTTCCTTTACAGCTATAGAACTCTTCAAACCAACAGGCATTTCATTTCAGTAAGGAAGAAAAAGGAAAAACATTGAAACGCTCTAACTGCAGAAAATGAAGATGCATAATAATAATACAGTAAACTCTCCGATATCCGGCATCCACAGGGATTGGTAGATTCCGGATAAATGTACTTTCTGGTTGCTTGAGAGTTACTATTAAATATAGGTCTAACTAATGCCATACACCATACTATACCCCATACTATACCATACCAATAACATAAACTCTGTATTGAATTCATATTCATATTGAAATGCAGTAATCAAAAACAAATTAAGACAAATAGGCACACAAATGTTTCCAGGATAATACATGCTGCAGCTCAGCAGTGAATACACAGGGGATTGTTTTCTTCTGGTTAGATGAGAGTTCTGTGTAGTTGAATACCAGATACCAGAGAGTGTACTGTATAAAAATTTTAATATTTACCTGAGAAAAAAAAATGTTTACAATGTACCATACTTTTTAATGATTCATTTGACAATAACATCTCATACAGCTTTGTATAAAATCATTTAAACATCTAAACAAGTTACAACAGAAACAACAGACATTGATTGACACTTTGTATAAAAGCTGCAAAAATCTGTATATGAAAATAACCAGAAATCAGAATGAAAAAAGGAAATGTAGCGCCCATCACCTTTTGTGATGTGACCACCATGCATTTAGTGATGTGCCAGGGCTGTAGACAGCCTGGCTGGATTTGTAGAAGCAGGTACATGGTTAATTCCCAGGTGTCTAACCTTGTCTGTACCCCCCTGGGCGGAGTGAGACTCTGTCATATTGGGGGACAGCCAATAGGAGACACTGTAATGTGTGTACAGTACAGCAGCCAACCACTGGGCTTGTTTCAGCCAGTGGTGTCTGCTGGGATAGTGTACATATATGGGTGGGAGCTGCCATGTGCTCTCTCTCTCTCGCCATGGACCAGCCATGGATTAGGGCTAGGTCCTGGTCAGCCTGCCCCCAGGCTAGGCCGAGGCCTGGGGGTGGGAATTGGCTGAGCTGCTGAAGGAGAGGTTTCCTTGGAGGCTTACAGTCAGGAGAATGCCTGAAAGATGGAAGAACCAGGACCAGTGACCTTGAAGTGCCTTGGATTTAGGTCTCGTTCACACCTAGGCGTATTGCATATGCGCGTCTGTCGCGTGTTTTTTTTTTACCGCGATTCGCGATAAACGCGCAACAAAACGGCCCAAAGTAGTACCTGGACCTTTTCAGGCGTGGGCCATTTTGTAGCGTGTTAGGGACGGGCGGAAATACGCCAAGGTGGGAACGAGACCATTGAAAACAATGGGATTTATATTTTTTTGCGTTTTGTAGAGCGTTCGTCGAGCTTAGAACGCGCTACAAAACGTTCAGGTGTGAACGAGGGCTAAGATGGACTTCAGAGCGGGGTCAGTGTTCTTTCATGGATTGTGGAGATGTATTCCCTTGAAGATAAGATCCGGGGAGCCTGGAGCTAAGGAGGCCTGTGCACCTAGACCCTATACAATCTCTCCCACAGAGTATGTTCAATAAACTGTTCAAGTAGCATCATAATACTGAAGTGGACATCAATTTATGGGCTGTTAGTGCTAATGGGTGCGGCTGAAAATCAACCCTTAGGCTGGGCACACACCTTACAACCATCGCAAGACTTCTGTCTTGCGATGGTTGTAAGGTACTTAAAAAAACGTACGATCTGCCTATGTTGCATAGGCAGATCGTACTTGCGATGATCGCAAGCCACGCCCCCTGAGGGGCGGGTTTCCGATGACCGCAATGCCGAACGGGCAGTGTGCGCTTGCGCACACCGGCCCGTGCGGCTGTTATCGTACGGACATGCCACAAACCCGCCGAACATCGTACGATGCTCGGCGGGTTTTCAAACATGTTCGTAAGTTTAAAGTCGTGCGACCTTACAGTAGTAGAGGTCGCACGGCTTCCACACACCTTACGATCATCGTACGATCGCGGGATTTCCCGCGATTATCGTACGATAATCGTAAGGTGTGTGGGGACCCTTAGACTGACTAGATGAGGACCGGGCAATCAGCGGCTCCCTGCGGGGAGTGATCGCTACAGAAATATTTGTCATTATTCTGACAAAACAACAGAAACACCAGAATCACATACAGTGCCTGCATACATGTTACAACACGTCACTAGAGACAAAACACCCAATATATATATATCTGAGCTATAGGTAGACCGTGGCAGTTTCCTTATCTCTCTCATGGACTCCAGAAACAAAATATTCCCGCCTGATTTCCCATCTACGCCAGAGAGTCTCAGGCCTTGTTCACACCAAGCGCGGAGCAGATCCGGACCAGAGCAGGTGCAGACCGGATCAAAACTGCGTCCAATGTATTCCTATGGTATTTTGACCTCCAGTTCACATCGCAGCGTGCGGATCCAGACCGGATGAAAAAACTGCGGCAAGCCCTATTTTACCTGCTCTGGTCTGGAACGCATAAAAAACGCATCTAGAACGCAAAAACGCATCAAAAACGCATGCAAGTGCCTGAAAGCCCATGTTAAACTTAAAAAAAATAAAAAAAATTTTTTTTTTTTTAACCAAAACCGGCCCTAAACGCATCAAAAACGCGGCACAACCCACTGCACTGCGTGTGCAGAATCCTGACCGGATTTCTGCATTTGGTGTGAACAAGGCCTCACTCTTTCTGCTGCACCAGGTGAGGTTCTACTGAATACTCCATAATGTAAAATGAAATTAAATCCCCAATCCTGCCCAACTAATATGGGTCCCAGCTACTGTTAAAAATTCCCTTCATGCCGTCGCCGTTGCCTGTTGCTTTTATTTATGTTTACATCTCTCTCAATGAATGAGTCATTTACCAGGCAGCCGCCGCACAGGCACAGAGTGACCTCGGCCTTCAGTCATTATGAATGCCTGCAGGCCAAGGTTATTCTGCTCCTAGTCCCCCACTGTGGCCTAGCGAATGAATGACTAATAGAGGGCCAGGGGTGAGATGTAAAGATAAACAAATTATTGCTAAACGACACTGTGTCCTGAACAAACTGAAGAGAGAATCTGATTGGTTGCCATGAGCCACTGCTCCAGATTATTTCTGCTCCAGTTTTAAACAATGCTCCTCTCCCCCCCACAGGGCAGTAAAAAAATATATTTCTGAAACCAAACTATTCTATATGGAAAAGGGGGCTGATATACAAATAGGAGCGTCCTATGCGCCTCAGCGCCACCTAGTGGTGGTAGGGCCCTGCAAATACCCTGTTTCCCCGAAAATAAGACCTACCCCGAAAGTAAGACCTAGCACTATTTTGCAAGATTCCTGTAACATAAGACCTACCCCGAAAATAAGACCTAGTTTGGTGGTAGCATGTGAGGGGGAACTTGAAGAGCAGGAGAGATATCAGAAGCAGAGGTATCAGCCTGCAGGTACATACTGTATTAAGGGGATGACAGGGGACTCCCTCTGGCCAGCGCAGTGACAGGGAGCACTCCAGTACCATACTTCACCAACTGCTGTCCCCCCTGAAGGCACTGCTTAATGTAATGGTACTGTACTGTAATGTGTACCGGTAAATGGTACCGTACTTTACCGCGCTGTCCACTGTCTGATGTCCCCACCGCTGCACCGCTGGTACCGCTGTCCCTGATGGCAAAGGAAGCCGGCGCTGTAGAAAGCAAGGCTGCGGAGGGAGCAGAGCCGCATTAGTCGATACTTCCTCTATAGTGGCAGTTACCGTGACAGGCGGAGTGATACCAGATAACTTTGGATTGTTGTACATTTTGTTGCACATTAAAAAAAAAAAAAAAAAAAAATATATTTCTGAAACCAAACTATTCTATATGGAAAAGGGGGCTGATATACAAATAGGAGCGTCCTATGCGCCTCAGCGCCACCTAGTGGTGGTAGGGCCCTGCAAATACCCTGTTTCCCCGAAAATAAGACCTACCCCGAAAGTAAGACCTAGCACTATTTTGCAAGATTCCTGTAACATAAGACCTACCCCGAAAATAAGACCTAGTTTGGTGGTAGCATGTGAGGGGGAACTTGAAGAGCAGGAGAGATATCAGAAGCAGAGGTATCAGCCTGCAGGTACATACTGTATTAAGGGGATGACAGGGGACTCCCTCTGGCCAGCGCAGTGACAGGGAGCACTCCAGTACCATACTTCACCAACTGCTGTCCCCCCTGAAGGCACTGCTTAATGTAATGGTACTGTACTGTAATGTGTACCGGTAAATGGTACCGTACTTTACCGCGCTGTCCACTGTCTGATGTCCCCACCGCTGCACCGCTGGTACCGCTGTCCCTGATGGCAAAGGAAGCCGGCGCTGTAGAAAGCAAGGCTGCGGAGGGAGCAGAGCCGCATTAGTCGATACTTCCTCTATAGTGGCAGTTACCGTGACAGGCGGAGTGATACCAGATAACTTTGGATTGTTGTACATTTTGTTGCACATTAAAAAAAAAAAAAAAATAAGACATCCCCTGAAAATAAGACCTAATGTGCAAAAAATATAAGACATTGTCTTAGTTTCGGGGAAACACGGTAGCTGCACAGGAGATTTGTAAATCAGCCTCAAGGTGTCGATAACCTGTGACAAAGAGAAAGCCAAAAAACATGGCTACCAGCGAGTTCACTTTACATCACAAAAACTTTCACTTTGTTCTTTCTTCAAAAGGGTCGCTGTGTGCAATATATATACTTTCCATATGTTGTCTCCAGACTTCCAGAGTGCTATTATTTACTTATGTTCTGGGCAGACAAAACTTATCTCAAAGCAGATGTTTCATCAATCTATGTGATTGGCCTTTGTATAACACAGTGACTGCCCCCCCCCCCCCCCTCCGCCTTCTTTTCATATTCTTATTTTAT